TAAGTCCACCTGAGGGTCACTCAGTTTATTTACTTATTGTTTGTTTTGAGACAGGGCCTTGCTGTGTAATTCAGACTGGCCTTGATCTCACTCTGTAGAGTGAGCTCTGAAACTTGCAGTAACCGTCCTGCCTCAGCCTCCTGAGGACTGGGATCACAGGTGCACATCACCGCACCCAGCTGTACCGACTGAGATAGGGACTGGCTCCTCACAGCAGGAGGCTGTCTGCACCCTGGTACTTGGAGGAGATGTGGAGGACTCAAGTCAGACACTTGTTTACTTGGGCAGTTATAGGGAAATGGATGCAAGAGAAGCGGTGACCGAGGGCAGGGCAAGGGATGAGGGAGGGAGCCCGTCCTAGGTGGTCTCGGGGGCCCCTGGATCCTAGAGCCTGGGCTGCTGCTCCGCCTTCCTGGGAGCTCAGAGGGAAGGGGCTGTGTGCAGAGCAGTGAGCACAACCATGAGCTCGGCTCCAGGTTTTTTCTAACAGTTTAGATCTCCAGGTGCGCTCTGAGTGTATGCCTATAATCCCAGTGCTCGGGAGGCTGAGGCCAGCATGGGCTACACAGCAAGATCCTGTGTCCTACAGATAAATAGAAGACACTTAACATTTCCAATTCAGCGATGTTTTTTTGGGGGGTGGTATCGGGAATCAAACGCAGGATCTGAAATGTACCAGGCAGGTGCTGCACTGCTGAGCTATAGCCTCAGCCCCAAGAAGATTTATTTTGAGACTAGGGTCTCACTAAGTTGCCCAGGACAAGCTCAAACTTGCTATCTTCCTGCCTCAGCCTCCCAGAGTGCTAGAATTGTAGGCCAGTTAGACTTTTCAGTTGTGACCCTTCCAGGGTTGACACCACTGTGAGCTGTGAGCCAGAGGTGAAGATGCCCTGACAGGAGTTTTACAACACAACTCCTAAGGCGGCGGGCTGGAATCTGGCCGCTAGCCCTGGCAGCAGCGGGAAGGAGGCGCCTTCTCACTCCCTGGCAGCCTGCAGATCTCCAGGCAGGCCCCAGCCTGTCCCTGCACCCTTGGTTTCTGTGCTGCGCCCAAGGGTGGCCTGGGCTGGCTCTGTTGGTTCTGGGACCCTTCTCTGCCTTGTGTGGGGGCCGGGTGGGGGTCACTGTGGCCCTGGAGGGTTGTGTTGTATCAGGTCTGCTGGAGTTGGCTTAATACCTTCAGCCAGAGCTGTCTCAAACGCCACACATCAGCCCAGAAGGGGCAGGCAGATGGGCACATGCGCAGTGGCACATGCCTGAAATCCTTCTAGGAGGCTGAGGCAGGAGGATCCCAAGCCTAGGCAATTTAGTGACTTAGTGAGATCCTGTCTTAAAAAGTAAAATAGGGATAGGAATGTAACTCAGTGCTAAGGCCTGGGTTCAATCTCTAGTACTGTATTAAAATAATAAAAAACAAGATTGCACTCCATACATAAAACACTGATACAACACTCTCCTCTCATCCCTTAATTTTTTCCAGCCACCTATAATGTCCATTTAGCCCTTCTCCACGTCCTGGAGTCCCCTCGAGGATGCATTGGGCTGCCTTTGATTGATTTTTGGTTAGGGTCAGTTGGGCCCGACCCATTGCTTTCTGTCTTTCTTACCTTCTTTCTGCGAGGTGAGCCTCATGTTCACTTCAGTTAGGATGAAGAATGCTTATAAATTGGGGGCCTGAAGGGCTGGCAGAAGAGGCCAAGTAGGGACCTCATCTGGGTCCTGCCCTGCCTGGGCCTTGTGGCCTCATGGCCTTGGGCAGGACGAATAGCTTCTGGAGCCTTGGCTGTGCCGTCCATAAAGTGAGCCCGATGCCTGCCCTGCAGGCTCTGAGGATGGCAGTGAAGGAGACCCATCAGGGAGCATGGCCACTTCCAGCTGGCAGGGGGGTTCCGCAGCACCCCTGCCAGTGACGGTCGCCACACAGCACCACCTGACGTGGCACAGAGGGGAGGGGCTTTAGGCAAGGCTGGCATTCAGGTCAGTGACCTCAGGACAGTTTCCTAATCCCAGCCTTGTCCCCCAGGGCAGTTATGCACCCTACAAACCTGTCTCCTGGTGGGCACTGGGCCCCAGCCACTCCCTTTGAGGAGGCTGGAGGTAGTTGGTTAGTTAAACTGGTGGCTTCCAAGGCCCTGGGCCAGGCAGCTTGTTGTGGTTTAATTACTGAGAACGTGGCGGTGGAAATTCTCTCTGGCGCCCCTGTTTTCGATGTGTCTGGAGGACCCCAGGTGCCACCTGGGGTGTGGGGTAAGCAGGAGCCGCTGCCCAGCCCCACCAGCTGCGCCACCCCTGGCTCTGAGCCCAGTCTGTCTTCTTTACTTATGTGCTGTAGAAGTGCAGGACTGGGTCCAAATGCTGCTCCGGCCTGGCCAGCCTGCTGGCTGCAGAGGGGTCCCCGCACACCTTTCATTATGTGCCTTGTGTGGGGGCCAGCTGGAAGACCGGGACTGCTTGTTAGAAGGATTGGCCATAGCACAACAAATAGTGAGCCAGAGTGCGGTGAGCGGTCCGTCCTCCCCCTCGCCTCCCCTGCCCCCTCTTCCCCTCCCCTTCTTTCTCTTCCCCTTCCCTCCCCCTTCTTTCCTTTCCCTTCCCCTCCTCACCTTCCTTGTTTTATTTTTTCTGGGGCAGGCCCTTGCTAGTAGTTCAGACTGACCAGGTGGAACTTGCTGTGTAGCCTGGGCTGGCTGCCAGCTCCCAGCATTGTCCTGCCTCAGCCTCCTGGCCCTGCGAGTACAGGCTGGTGCCCCCAAATCTACCTAACAGTTTCTCAGAAGCAGTGTTCTCCCCCTGGAGGGAGGTGCTACTGACACGTAGCAGATAGAGTCCACACTGCTGGCCACCGCGCCAGACGCATGGCAGAGCTGGTGTGAACGGCCACTAAGGAGCACCGTGGCAAGTGTGCCCAGCGATGGAGCCAGGCAGCTGATGGACATGGAGTGGGCTTCCCCCACCCTGGCTCTTCTCCCTTCACTCCTGTGAGCCAGCTGGGCCCAGGGTGAAGTGGAGGGCGAGAGTGGGGTGGGGGGAGCTGGGCTGTGTGTGTGTGTTTAGTACAGGTCTACAGGGTCTCACTACACAGATCAGACTCGTAGTGATCCCCCTGCTTTCAGCCTCCCAAGTGCTGGGATTACAGGCGCGCGCCACCAGGCCTAGTCTCCATCACTGGCTCCGTGTGCCCCGGGGCAGGGCCAGCACAGCATGCCAGGGATTGAACCCCATTCCTGTGCCTGCCTGAGCAGGTGCTTTACTGCTGAGCTATTTGGCAAGCCCAGAAGCTGGGCTTTTTATTGTTTTTTTTAATTTTTATTGATTTATTTTTGTCTTTTTGAGACAGGGCCTCAGCATGTAGTTCAGGCTGGCCTTCCAGTCACTACATAGCCTGGGCAGGCCCCGAGCTAGCCTCCCAAGCCGTGGGTTGCAGGCCTGCACGCCGCACTTGGCTTGGGGCTCCTAAAGCTTGCACTCTCCTCCCCCTCCGCTCGCGTCAGCACAGCAGCCAGTACTCACCGGGCACTCGAGCAGGCCAGCCGCCCTCTCCGTCCCCTCATTCCTTGCTGTGACCCCACACACAGCTATCCCGGTGCCACCCGATCTGGTGGTCGGCATGTCCCGTTCAGGGGCAGAGCCCTCTGGGTGCTCCCCGAGGTGCTCAGTCCTGAGGGACAAGTCCCAGTCACGGCATCTCAAGCCAGCTGTCACACCTGTCCTCAGTATGTCACCGCGCTGTCTGATCTGATGTCTCCCCTCATCTCAGAAGGTCTTCTGCTCTTCAGGCCTGCTGGGAAAGTCTGTGCTCTGTGCTGTTCTTTCTCTCAACCAGTAAACTCCTATTTGTCCTTCAAGCCCTAGCTCCTGTGACTTCTTCCTGGAGCCCTTGGCAGCTAGTCCCCCCTCAGTATTCTCAGAGTATTGTCATTTCCTTTCCGCCATTGCTGTCCTGGGCTAAGGCCCTGGGTGTTTTTGTTTAGGTCTCTTTGGGCCGTCGTCGTGTCCTCTTTGTTCTGGTTTCCCTGCCTGTGGTGCGGGCAGGGTCATCTCTGCAGCTAGGTGTCGTGTCTTGGTTTTCCTCCTGTATCCCTGTCCCGGCGCTGCCTGGGCACCCCCTTGGTGGCTGCCCCGGGCTCCCTCCCCTAAGTTGAGACTTGTTGCTCCTCTCTGCTTGCTGGAGAGCCCTGTGGATGGCTTGGAGGACCATGCTTTGATATTGAGAATACTGAGGGGGGACTAGCTGCCAAGGGCTCCAGGAAGAAGTCACAGGAGCTAGGGCAGTTGGAGAGCAGAGGGCGCTTTTCCTCTTCTTCTGAAGGCGCGTGAGGCTTGGGCACGGAGTTCCCCAGGGCTCCTTGGTATTTTGTGCTTTGATATTGAAGGAATAAAGAGCAATTAATTGCTATAAATGGCCTGCTCCTGTGGGGCTGGTCTGATGCTGTGGGGGCGGTGGTGTATGTCCTCTGCTGCTTAGAGGGGGACACAGAGGCTGGGAGACGCCTGGCTTCCTCAGTGCCCAGGGCGCACACTCTGGGCATGAGGACTGCAGACGGGCTTCCCACTGGCTCTGGGCCTCTTGTTCCCTGGCTTCTCCAGGCTGACTGAAGGCTGGGAGGCCACCTCCGGCCCTTGCTGTGGGCCACACCCCCACCAGGCTAGGCAGCAGGTGCGACGCTTGTGATAAGGTGGAGAGCGGAGGAGTGTGCACCATCCTGCAAGAGGTGTGTCGCATGTCCCGGCAGGGAGCTGAGGTTTGCGTGGCATTTGAGGGGTGGGTCGTCCTCTGTCACGAAGTGATTCACTGTGGTCCCCGGTGACTAACTCAGGGGAGGAGCCCGCTGCTCACTGCTGGTGACAGCTCCCAGTGCAGCCACAGTGGGTTCCCGGGCTGGGACGTGCAGGTCTGCTGGACTGAGGAGACCCTGGTATGAGCTTCCTGTGGCCATCTGGTCCCTTGGCGGGGATCGTGCCAGGTGGCTCCTCTGTGACAGTGTTCTGTGTTCCTGCAGGGTGGCAACCTCCTCCTCCTCCCCACCCCCGGCCACAGCCCAAGCCTCACAGCCGCGTGCCCGTGTGCCAACGTTAACTTCCAGAGCAGGTAAGGAGCACGTGAAGGGCCCTGGGTGCTGCCACGGGTGGGGCTGCAGGGCTCCTCTCCTGTGTTTCTCCACAATACTCACTTTTTCAGGTGCAACGGTTCTTTTTTCCTTTCTCTTCTTTATTTGGTTCTGCAGACTGAACCCAGGGCCTTCACACTGAGCTATATCACCAGCCCTTTTTATTTTGAGACTGGGTCCTGCTAAGTCACCCTCCTGCCTCAGCCTCCCAATGTTGGAATTACAGGCATTACAGCAGCGCACCACTGCCCTGGGTGAGGGGCCCTTCCTCCCTCCCTCCTTCCTTCCTTCTCTTCCCTGCTGAGGCTGGAGTCCAAAGCCCTGTGCTCGCTAAGCATGTGCTGCGCCCCTGGCTGCGCCCCTACTGTGTGTTCTTTTGGTAAGTGCTGTGGTGCTGCTGATTTCTTTCAGGCTAAGACTTGTACTGGTTTTGAATTAATTATTTTCCCCCTTTTTTTTTGTACCAAGAATCAAACTAATATTTATTTATTTTTTAATTTTTTCTTTTTTTTTTTTGGGGGGGGGCCAGAACCGGGGATGGAACTCAGACCCTTCCCTTGCCAAGGGAAGCACTTATTCCACAGAGCCATCTCCCTGGCCCAATATTTTATATAAACACTAAATAACAGTTATGATATTTATGCAATATAAAATTTGCAAAAATATGTGTTCATTTTTATTCATAAAATTTAAAATCTATTATGATATCATTTTGCTTACTTTTTGAGCTTTTTTGAGACAAGGTCTCACAATGTAGTGCAGGCTGGCCTTGAACTTGTAATCATCCTGCCTTGGGCGCCAAGTGCTGGGATTACACCCCCAAACCCAACCCTGATACTTTTTATTTATTTTGAGACATGGTCTCGCTGTGTTCAAGCTTGCTCTTGAACTCACCAAGTAGCCAGTTTGGCCTTGAACTTCTGACAGTCTTCCTGCCTCAGCCTCCTGAGTGCTAAGATTTTAGGCATGTGTCACCCTGATATGTTTTTAAATGGATAAAACAAAAGGCAAATGACAGGACCCCAAGGTCAGAGGTACCTGTGCACCGGGACCTGCCAGCCGTGCACCCCAGCAGCTGCTTTGCTGTTTCCTAAGCTGGTACAGCCCCCAGGAGTAAGTGGCTCTCTAATTTACAGGTGTTCAAACAGCACTAACTCCAGGTTCATAAATACAAATGAGTGTGGGTGGTGGCACTCGTGTTTAGGGCCTTGTGTGCTTTCACCAAGGCACTAGCTGCCCTTCCCAGCCTGGCTGCCACTGCCCACATCTTGTCTCGCCCTCCCGGTCCTTGTTCTTCCCGTAAGACCGATTAGAAGGTTCGTGTCATGCCCCAGAGGATGCAGAGCAGCCTCTCAGGCCATGAGCCCCACAGGTCACTGTGCGTGTGTCTCCTTCCCAGGGCTGGGACACTTCCTTCAGCCTCCACCTGAGTGTGCACGTGTGTATGTATGCACACATTTGTGTTTGTCCCAGCACACGTCACATAGAATGCTACTTACTTTTCACCTGACTGCAGTTCGCTATCACAATGGCCCCCCCACAGCTGCCTGTTGCTGCTTTCCGTTTTCCTTTTATTATTTTTCTTTTGTATGTGTGTGTGGTAGTGAGGATGGAACCCAGGACTTTTACACTGAGCTACACCTCCAGCCCCTTTGCAGTGTGTGTGTATTTCTTGACCATGTTATCTCCCCTGCCAGGTAGTATTGTGTGTGTATTTCTGAGTTGAGTTGCTGAGTTGTCCAGGCTGGGCTCACACTTTCAGTTCTCCTGCCTCCGCCTACCAGTACTGTGACTGTATGCATACGCTATTGCACTGAGCTTTGTGTGTGTGTGTGTTCATCTCTGATTCAGACAATTACTACTGGGAAATTCTCTGAAGATTTGAGAGGGGCCGTACCCTGTTACAGACGATGGGGTGCGGATGTTCATGGTGATGACTGAGATTGTCACTGAGACACTAAGTTTTGGTTCTTAGATCTGAGGACCGGATGAATAATTGCTGTGTCCAAAAGAGCCGCAGTTTGAGCATCTGTAATCTAAGCACATTTTAACAGCGACCAGTTCTTGATGCCTGGAGAGGCAAACAGGAATTTTCAAGTGCAGTTCATTCACTGCTTGTCAGGCTTGTGACGAGAACATAATGTCACATTTGCTCGACTGGGCCACAATCCCAAACGCCCTGCGAGGCGCTCGTCGCCAGACTCCAGGCCAGACTCCAGCAGCCGTGGTACCTGTACAGCTCGGGTGGGTTAGGATGAATTGTCTTCAGTTCCGAGTTGCCTTCCTGGTGGTGCCCTGCCCAAGATCTGGAGGAATGGTGTCAGCCAGGCCTGGTGCCTCCCCAGTGCTCCAGCCGTCTTGTGCAGGGTGGAGGCTTTGCTCTGGGCCACTTCTGCCCCAGATCCAGTCCTGGGTGTTCCTTCACTGCCAGGAGCCCGCAGAGTCAGCTCCACGCCGAGCTTGAGAAATCCTAGATGAGCAGAATTTTTAGAAATGACAGCTCAGGAGTCTTCCTGAGGCAAGAAGAACCAGCTTGAAAAACAGCCTCTGTCAGGGAAATGTGCGGAAGGGAAGATGACCCAGCTCCATATGCCCTTTCAGGACCAGTGTCCCCAGCGACAGTGAGTGTCACAGCAAAGACCATGGGAGTAGAGTGTGTCCGGGCTGGAAGGTAGGCTCCCTGGACAGGGCAAGAACCTGCAGCCCACATACACACGTACACTGCTTCTGTGCCATGCTGGAGCCTCCCAGCTGTGAGCCCCAAGTGTGTGCCAGGACCCCCGAATCTGGGAGGTGGCAGCACACAGGACCACCGCTTCAGTAGAACTGGCGTCTGCCTGAAGGGACAGATGTGGCTTGTGGGAGTGTGTCTGAAAGAAAAACAGCTGGTTGTGGTGGTACATGCCTACAACCCCAGCCCTAGAGGCTGAGGGAAGAGGATCACAAGTTTGAGTCCACCTGAGGCATTTTAGCAACTTATCAAGACCCTGTCTCAAAGCACAGGAGTGCAGGGGCCGGGGAGATGGCTTAGTGGAATAAGCACTTCCCTGGCAAGGCAAAGGCCTGAGTTCAATCCCCGGTTCCGCCAAAACCCCCCCAAAAAACACAAAACACAAGAGTACAGAGGGCATTGGGTTGGGGGTGCAGCTCAGTGCATTGAACCGAGAACCACACACAAAAAAAGAGAAAGAAAGCAGCAGTCCCACCAGGGTGATCAGCATTGCCACCTTGGCAGGGACTGGCATGAACAGGAAGCAGGCCCCCAGCGTCTTGGAGGGGGACTGGGGCTCTGTCTCTGGTGTTGTTAGATGTGCTGACACCTAGTGGCCAGGCCCCTGCACACCATCCTGTCTCACAGGAGAGGGCAGATTGGACAAGCCCTTGGGAGCTCTGGCGTGCGTGTGCGTGTGCGTGTGCGTGTGCGTGTGCGTGTGTGTGTGTGTGTGTGTGTGTGTTTCTTGTTTTGTCAAATCAGAGTCTTGCTATGTAGCCATGGCTGGCCTCAAACTTGTGGCAATCCTCCTAGTTCAGCCTCCAGAGTGCTGCAGTGACAGGTGAGCACTCTTACAGTGCGTGATACTTGATCTTTTAATGCAGTGACACTTAGCCTTAAGCTGCTGCAGGTTGTAGGAGGGGGATGTGGAGGCACTACTGCTGTCTCTGTGTCCCATTCAGCCAGCCAGGTAGCTGCTTCCCAGTGCCGGCCCCAGGGTGACTGGGACAGGAGGAGCTGCCCTGAGAAGCAGGTGCGCTCAGGTGGGAGCGCTTGAGTGCAGGTGCAGAGCCAGCTTCTGCTTTGCCATGCGATGGCTCCCTGAAAGGGTGTAGGGAAGCTGAGATGACAGTAACTCAACGCTGGCCCGGGCCAGGGGACATCGTGTGCGGACTGCTGGGAGGAGCATGAGAGGCGCTGGCCTCCCTGAGGACTGCTCTGGCTGATGTGGACAGGTGGGGAGAGACAGGAAAGAGACCCCCACCCCATGTCGCCTCGCCACATCCAGCCCAAATAGAAGCAGGGTCAGGAGGGAGGTGGAGCCCGGCCGTGCAGGACTGAGGCCACAGCAGAGCTCACCTGGATGTCGTGCGGAGTACAGAACTGCCACACAGTGCCCTGTAGGTGTGAGAGGGAGGCGGGGGAAGGTAGTGATGCCCAGCTGCATGGGGCTACCTTTCTGGCCGGAGTTGGCAGGGAGCAGCTGCAGAGGAAGGTGGGAAGGTGTGGAGGAGCCTTTGCCCAATCTGGTGTCCCTCCATGATGCCTGCCCAGCTGGTGCAGGTTTTAGCCTATTGTGTGGGCTCTGGTGAAGGCCTTGGGTCCCTGCACCGGCCCCTGGCTCGAGCTAGTCCCATCTGGGAGCACTGCCAGGCCAGCTTACGGCTCCTGGCAAAGGACTGCATGAGGAGTCCTTGTTGCACCCATCTGGTTCCTGGTTCCCCGTGCGCAGCTCCTTGCACCAGGGTCAACAAGGCCCCGCCCCACCAGCTGCTGCGTTATTTCTGCCTCATACAGGAGTTGAGAGTATGTAACCCAAGCCCCTCTATGCCCACTTCCTCTCCTCTGCCCCTCCTGGAGCCTCTCTCCTGGGGCCCTACACTGGGTCCAATCCCCTCTAACAAGTGTGGGTCCCCAGGGTCTTAGTGCTAAGCCAGCTCTCCCGTTGAGGGACTGCTGGGCCCTGACCTGGCGCAGGTCCCACAGTGCCGCAAGGCCCGGGGCAGCCATTCTGATCCGGTCACTGGCTCCTAATGCAGGTTGCTTGCTTTGGATACCAGGACCTGCGGGCATCATGCACCTGTCTCTTGCATCACTGCAGTGCGGCAGCCCTGCACTGTCCCTGCCCTTCACATGTGACCTTGGCACCTGCTCTGGGGCCGACAGGCAGGGGAGATGTGGGCACTCACTGTCTACTTTCTGCTCTCTGAAGTGAGACTGGGTGGGAAAGGGCTGCTCAAGGAGGTAGGGTCGCCCATAGGTGCCAGGACCGTAGCACATCTCTCTGTCCCCTGCAGGAGTCCTCAGAGCTGGGCCAGGGGGATGAACTGCGAGGGCGCATCCGGAAAGAGTCCGGAGGAGATGTACATCCAGCAGAAGGTCCGTGTGCTGCTCATGCTGAGGAAGATGGGCTCAAACGTGAGTGTCGGGGTGTCGCCATGAGGGCACCCAGGCTCTGTGGCGTCAGGAGGGGATGGAGCATCCTGTAGTATGGCTTTGTGGCCAGTTCAGGCCCCAGGCCAGGGCTTGACATGTCCAGTTCTAGGTTATGAGTAATCTTCTCAGCCAAGGGTTTGAGGCTCCAACCTTCCTGTCTGTGTTCTCACTGGCCCTGAGCCAGGCTCAGTGCCTCTCAGGTTTAGTCTGATGGGCTTAAGGCCTGTGGGATCCAGGAGGCCAGGCTTCCAGACAACCTAAGGAATGGAAACACAGAGGCTCCTGCCCTAGAACCCTAGAGCAGGGCGTGGTCTAACACCATCTCTCTGTGCAGCTGACAGCCAGCGAGGAGGAGTTCCTGCGCACCTACGCGGGTGTGGTCAGCAGCCAGCTCAGCCAGCTGCCCCAGCACGCCATCGACCAGGGTGAGCGGTGGGCAGGGGGGCAGGCGGGCAGAGAGATGGATGGATAGGGTCTCCTGCAAGTCCCCTCCTTCCCCAGAGGGAACCGGGGACGAACTGAGGCCCACAGTGGAGCGGATCACTTTCCAGGCCTGAGGGGGTTCCCATAACAGTTTTCTTAAGCTTGCCCTGGCCCTGTCTACCTTGCACCCGGCTCAGGGACAGTGAGCTGGCCTGTGTGCCACTTGGGGACATCCAGAAGGGATGTCCCGAAGCCCTGGGGCTCTGTGTGTGCCTGAAGTGGTTGTGTCTCCTTTTGAGTAACTGCAGTTGGCCCTTGGGGTCACAGGCAACATGAGAGTGTTTATTGTGGCAGGCACCATGGCAAGTGATCATTGAGATGACAGCAGTGTCACTTCTGGTAACACCGCAAGTTATGGCCCTTGGTCATGAGGCCAAGTCCTGCATGGTTGGTTCCTCACAACTCGGTCTTCTGTGCAGCCGGGCTGCGCTCCTGGGGCTGGTAGTCCTTTCCGGTTTTTGTTTTTGAGACCAGGCCTTGCAATGTAGTTCAGGCTGGCCTCCTGCCTTAGCCTCCTGAGCTCTGGGATTACAAGTGTGCCCCTCTCTAGCAGGCCTTGTGGTCCAGTACTCTGACCAGACTCTTCCTGTAGCCTTTTCCTGTTCTCTTTATGCCTTGTTAGAATTATCAGCCATAAAATATTGTGGCTGCGGCATGTCCAGACGTGAGCCACCTCCTGGGAGCCCCAGAGCACTGGTGGCGCATGTGCTGTTCCGCCCTGCTTCTCCTGGTGTCCTGGCTCTACCTGGCACAAGGGCTGGGCCCAAGGGGGGCACTGGGTGTGACTCAGCCCATGCACCAACTCAGCAGAAACCTGCCAGGGCGCAGGTGACTCTGGTGACTCCCTTGGCAGTGCTCATCTCTGTCGTTGTGCTGGGTTTGCAGTATGGAGCTTGGCCTCTCCTGAGATAGGTGTCCCCGAAGCCCTCAGGCTTTGAGTCCCTCGGGACTCAGCTTCTTCCTCACCAGGTCTCAGTCACTGAGCTGCCTGAACTGCTGCAGGGTGGTGAGCATGCTTCTGTGGAGTGACCCAGAGGGAGTGAAAATGAGTCGCACAGTTCACAGCATGTTCCCAGCCACTCACCCACCAGCTTACAGACAGAACTGACAACAGCCAGGCATGGTGACACACACCTGTGATCCTAGCACTCAAGAGGCAGAGGCAGGAGGATCGTCAGAAGTTTGAGACCAGCTTTGGGCAGATAGTAAGACCCTGTCTCAAAAAAGAAAAAAAAAAGCCAATGAAATATGGATCCAGCTCTTTACTACAAAGAAAACCATGTGTGAGAGACATTTGGGACCGAACGCCACCCCACCAGATGCCTTTGACAGGTGGAACTGACAGGCCCTCACTTGCCGAGTCATGGTCTTCTACAGAATGCGTTTTCCTCTCTGCACACTGTTCTGTGCTGAGGGCCAGTTGTTACTGCCGTGCTCAGGTCAAGCCAGGGGCCTCGGGCGCTCTGGCCAGCGCTCCTGGAGCGTTCCAAGGGAGCGCTGCTCTCGCTCAGCTGAGGCAGCGTGCACAATGCAGGTGAGCTCTGCTGGGCTTCGCGGTGACTGTGCCGCCCGCCGCCCGGAGGACCTGGTCTGAAACTGCTGAGCAGTTGGCAGGAGCTGCGGGGCGAGGGTAGGGCCACAGGGTGCTGTGGGGAAGTTTCTGTCTGAGCAGAGTCACTAAGGTATGGCTAGGGTTCCTGTACCATCACCCACCCGGGGATGGTCACCTCTGACCAGGCTGCTGTGGCAGACCTGGAGGATTCCTGAGTGTGGGGGGAGAGGGTGGCTGTGCTCGGAAGAGCCTTCCACGTCTTCTGTGCCGTTCCTTTGTTCTTTTCAGCTTTTGAGATAAGGTCACCATGTAGCCCACACTGCCCTCAGACTCAGCCTCCTGAATACTGAGATTACAAGCATGCACCGCCATACCCAGCTCTCTTCTTTTTCCTCCCCCTTCTTTTCCCTCCCTCTTTTCTTTTCCTCTCCTCCCTTTCCCTCCCTTTCCCTCTCTTTCATTCATTATTGTTGTACTAGGGATGGAACCCAGGGTCCACATTGAACTATATTCCCAGCCTTTTTTTTTTTTTTTTTTCCCTTTTTAAAATTTAATTTATTTTTATATTTTGAGACAGCTTTTCACTAAATTGCTCAGGCTGGGCTTTAATTTATAAGCCTTCTGCTTTAGCCTTTTTTATTTCTTAATTAATTTTCTTTAGAATCAGTTTCTCACTGTGTTGCCCAGGCTGGTCTCAAACTCTTAGAATCACATGATCCCCCTGCTTCAGCTTCTCAAGCAACTGGGACTACTTGCACATCTAAGGCCCAGAGCCTGCGGTGCTGCCCACACCTTGGGGCCAAATTAGACCCTGCCACCCTCTCCACTGGCAGAGCCAGCCGCAGCCTGAGCCACAGGACGTTGTGCCATCTGACGCATGGTCCTACTCAGGTGTCAGAAGCCTGCATCGCTGCAGCTGGGACGTAGGGTAGGGCCAGGGAGCCAGGTTGTGTGATGCCCACAGACTGTGTTGGGACCAGGGCCTGGCATGAAAGCCTTGTGCCCACCAGGTGGCGCTTTCTGCCAGCAGATGACAGGCTGCCTGCCATTCCACTCCCTCAGGCCCCTAGGCAGAGGCCTGAGCTTTGTCCCTGGGGATCCGGCCACCACCTCTGTGTCCCCCTGGGGCTGGGGACCTGAGACCTAAGGAGAGGCCTGCACTTGTGGGCTCCCACCCCCTCCTACCCCACTGTTGTCAGGCTGCCCGGCTGCAAAGTGCAGCCTCCTCTCCTTCCAGGACCCCTCCATTCCAATCTCATTCCGCCTTCCCCAACTTGACTAAGTTGCTCCCTCACCGCCCACTCCCTCCCTGGGAGGTTGCCTATGTCTCCCCTGGCATCAGCAGAGGCCCTCCACCCAGACTCCTCTCCCCACTCCAAGGCTAGGGTGAGTTGAAGCTGGGGGGTATCAGCAACTTCCCTCCTGCCTGGAATTTCAGGAGCTCCCTGCTGCTTTGGCCTAGTAAGTGAGGCCCCCAGGCCTCCTAGGTCACACAGGGCAGGGGTGGCCCAGGCCCGGCCTCCCATTACCCTGCCAGCCCTCTGGTCACCCATGTGACCTGTTCCACCTCTACCGTCCCCTCTTGCATAGTGGGCAGCCCTGAAAGCCTGCAGGACCAGCTGTGAGCCAGAGATCATTTTTCTTTTTCTTTTTGTTTTAGGGAAAGGTTTACAGCGTGTTCAGGGTCTCACTACTAGATTGGCTGGACTAATAGTGATCCCCCTGTTTACAGCCTCTGAAGAGCTGGGATTACAGGCATGGGTGCCACCATGCCCAGTCTCAATTGCCATCTCAGCACAGCAGGCCCAGGGATTGAACCTCTGGCTCATGAACCTGCTTGCAGGTGCTTTAATTTGCTGAGCTATTTGGCTGGCTCAAGATCATTGTTCTTGACCCGGGAGATAGGCCCTTTCTGGCCAGCACCCTCCTCAGTCGGGAACAGCAGAGAGACTTATTGGGGTAACCCTGTTGCATTTCCCAGCAGGTCTTTCTTCCCCCCAGTATCAAATAGTAAACCCAGGGCCTCATATATACTATTTGCTTGTTATAATTTTATTTTTTTGAGATAAGGTCATGCAATGTAGTTCAGGCTGGCCTCAGACTCACTATGTAGCCCATGCTAACCTTGAACTTGCAGCAGTCCTTTTGCCTCGGGCTCCCAAGTGCTGGAGTTACAGGTGTGCACCACCATGCCTAGCTAAATTTTATTTTTTTTTATTTTTTTTAAATCTTTTTTTTAAAATTTATTTATTTATTTATAT